ATTCGCAATCGACGTTCGTTTTTTTTTTGTTGGTAATTTTTTGTTTCATCTGATTCGTGATTGATAAATAAGGATAGAGTTATTCTAAATGGGTATTACAAATACTATAGTGAAACCAAGTATGCATAAAGTAAAAGCCCGCTGAATCATAACCTGTGGTGCAAACAGCCTACGTTAAGGTGAGAAACGAAATGCTGCCTACGTCATGACTGGTGCTTTGACGTGTCGGGGCTTGAGATGTCACCACAATTTGACCTGAAAGGCCATATTGGAATAGATTGCCTAATTATTTCTCAATAAAACGACTCAGCGATCTAAAATTACGTATTATGGTTTTTTTTTAAGGCGAGAAATACATATTTATTCTCGGTTTTGATGTTATTAGTATGGGGTGCCGGGCGCCACCTACGGCACGTCTCGCCTTAGGGCCAAATTATGAACTGACTGGTAAACGTTTGGTTGTTACCTAGCAGGTACTTTCTATGCACTAGAGAATAGAAAGTACCTGCTAGGTAACAACCAGACGTTTACCAGTCAGTCCATAAATTGGCCCTTAACACATATACCCTTAACAAACCCCCCGATACGTAATTTCTGATCGCTGTGTCGTTTCATTGAGGGCGAATCCCCACGGGCGTAATTAGCGCAATCGGCATGAACGTCAATTCTACGCCAATTTTGGCGTAACATCCCGCATGTAGTGCATCTTTTGTGGTTTTCTGTGATTGTTCTATCATAGCGGGGTTCGGCTATTCAGCACGGAGTTGGAGTGGAGTAAGAACAGATTTTTGTCACGTGATCTAGGAGTGATTAGAGTGAAAAATTAATACACGAATGATATGTTTTGTTCCAGAACAACAGTCAACTGTGACTTTACAATGTTCCGGGCGGTTCTGGGTATCCAATTTTTTTTTTTCACTTTTGTCGTTGATCTTTCGTGTACTTTAAATTAACTTTAATCCCTCCACAATAATGAATATGATGCTTTTGCGTCTACTTAACTTTGTCAAGGAAATTTTCCCATCAATTTAAATAAATTTTAAAATCAGATCAATTGTTTTACCCGATGATTTTACCAATTCCCGCATCCACATATAAACGATTTTTAATTTTTTTAACAACAACCACAACGGTACGTGACAATACAAGCTTGAAAGTTTCCATATTTCACCTCTGCGCTGCGCATGCTTACTCTGAAAAATTCTCTTTCCGAGGTGGAACTTTTGGAGTCACCTCCATTTACTCCACTCCATACGCTAATGGAGTCACCCCTAATACGCCAAAAAGCAATACCTGAACGGATAACAGATGGAGTGCGAATGAAGTTACTCGGAGTGAGCAAGCCGAACCCACCTCATATATCAGAAGAAACAAAACCAAACGTCACAACTTCGCTACGATTACGCCGAAAAGTTCAACAAAACCCAACTTTTGCCGTAGTGGCAGCGTAATGTCAAAAATTCAAGATGGCTGCACTGCCGCCAATGAAATCGTACAAATTAAATCACGTGATTAGTTACGCTTACGTCAATTACGCCCACGTCAATTACGCCCGTAGGGTCTCGCCCTGAAAATGAAACTAAAACTTTGACACCCCTGTTTGCTGAAAATTAAGCACTTTGGTTGCATGGAAGAAAATTTAGAAAATTTAACCAGATAGCACTGCTTATCGAGCTGAAAGTGTCTGCCATGTTCACGCGACAACTTCACACTATTTGTGACGTCAGTTGCAGACCTCAACTGTTTGCCTAAAATGCATTATTGGAGTTCAAAACACTATCATCGATTAAAAGCTGTATTCCTTTCAAGAGTTTGAAACACTAGAGCTACTCGCTCCGGTGTTAGTCGCCCCGATTTGAAAGGAACAGATGCGCTGGCTTTCATGCATTAGTTGTATTCTTTTCAAGAGTTTGAAACACTCGAGCTACTCGCTCCGGTGTTTAGTAGCCCCCGATTTGCAGGGAAGAGATGCGTGGTGCGACAAACACTGTTCGGAACTTAGAGCAGGTAAAGGTAAAGGAGTAGTAACCTGGATTTGAAAAATGAAGCCGTTTTTTTCCAGGTATCTTGGCCCACAAAAAATGGCGGTTATGGCAATTCAATGCTCTACCTGTATTTTGGTGCCAAACACCTGCCAAAAACTTCGCTTCACTTTAGTTTCATAAGCAGAATGGCGCGTTCCTACTCCTTATGTCCGTAGGACAGCGCTTTACCTGCTCTAAGGTTCGGAAGGAATAAGGGCGAGAAGCCCTGGAGCTGTTCCGTCCGGAGCTCCTCCTAGGTGTGAAAGGAATACAACTATTTAATGCCTAGTACTCATAACTGCGAAATTCGTACTTTTTTGATATTGCTTTGACAAATCGACGTTTTATGCGTGAATCAAACGTCAAATTGTCGAAGTAATGTCAAAAAAGTGCGAATTTCGCAGTTATGAGTACCAGGCTTAAGATGGTTTACTTCGGGCTTAAGTACTCAGGTGCAACAAACACTTTTCGAAAGGAATAAGCGCGTAACGCCCCGGAGCTGTTCCGGAGTTCCTCATACGTGTGAAAGGAATACAACTAATGGCAATCAACCGCAAGGATGATACACACTTCTACTACTGGATGGCCTATCCTCATATGGCCTGCGTGTAACAAATCCCCCCTTTTTCCCTACGCCAAATTACCAATTGTGACGTAGCAGCATGTTATTTCTCGCCTTGACGTAGACTGTAACAATCGATATATGACCTTAAATACATTGTTCACCTGTCAAAAAGCAAATTTTGACGAACATCACGTGATCAATTTTCCTTTTTTGCGTGTCAAGTCAAATCACGTGACATCTGTCCAAATTTGTTCGCAGATGCGATTACCGAACCCAGCCTGTGAAGAAAACGATTTCCTGAACGTTGAAATAACCTTTTCTACCTTTACAATCGAATAAAAAAATAACTCAAAAGCACAGCCTGAATCGCAAGCAATCCTTCGACGCCTGCGGATGACGTCACCACTATCAATCAGCAGCTGATAAGGGTGACGTCATTTGCAGACCTGCTGCCGAATCGAGAACTGGGCGAACGTACGCCTTATTAGGATAAGCAATTCTATTTTATGGTAGTGAGAACGACATTAAAATGGGTTGTTTGCTCTGTCGCACGCGTACATGTTCACGAACAATGGTGGGGAATCATAAATCCACCTAGTCCGCTTACAGTAATGCGTAAGACAAAGACGACCCCTTTTACTCCATTAAAAATAAGCCGCAGGCGTGATAAATGCTGGTGCCATCCCATTTACGTAGTCTACATTTTACTTTGGCTAAGTTCAGCTTTGTACTCCACGGAGCGAAACGGTATGAGCATGGATATAGTGACTTGACATCATACGCGGTCATAAGCCCAACGCAAAAGAGAACACTCAGAGCTAAAACGAACAGGATCTTATGGTTTCGAGCGCGCTCAGAGTGTACAGACCGTGCGTTCGTTATTTTGGTCTGAGTTCTCCGAGCTTGACTTTACCGTTCGTTTATTAAAAAAGTGTACTCGGTGCAGCCTCATTCGCGTTCGTTTATTAAAATTTCTGGCGCTTTTATACAGCGTTCAACTGCTCTGTTCGCTCGCTGGTCACGTGATTACGGCTCCGCTCAGCACGCTCTGCTCTTTGAGCAATATACCGAACGCAAGGAGAGTGTAAAGCCGAACTCAGCCTGTATTGTGATGACGTCGACATTTGTGTTTGATGATGTTTTCAAGCCGTGCGTTCGGTATTTTGATCTGAGTTCTCCGAGCATGAATTTACCGTTCGTTTATTTGAAAAGTGTACTCGGTGCTGGCTCATTTGCGTTCGTTTATTAAAATTTCGGTCACTCGGGGGATTGAGCAAAATACCGAACGCAATGATAATAGTTGTATTCCTTTCACACCTAGGAGGAGCTCCGAAACAGCTCCGGGGCTTCACGCGCTTATTCCTTTCGAAAAGTGTTTGTTGCACCACGCATATGTTCCCTGCAAATCGGGGGCGACTAAGCACCGAAGCGAGTAGCTCGAGTGTTTCAAGCTCTTGAAAGGAATACAACTAATTATCGTATCGATATCGTCGATATCGCATCACCCTTCTCTACTGTCATTTTTACTGTCACCAGTGTCCACTCGGAGTGCAGGGACGTACTTGACTGACTTGAAAACTCTCACAGGTAATAATTATTTTCACAAATAATAAATATTCAAAAGGAATTTCATTATTTGTTTTTATGTAAATAAAACTGTAATTTTTCCCATTTTCCGCCTAGTAACGTTGAAAATGAGTTTTTAAATCGTAAAAACCCAAAAAACTAACTTGGAAAAACATTTAAAATTTTCCATCAGGCTATTTTCAGCAAACACAAATCAATAAACAAATAAAAATGGATTTTTCCGATTGACCGTGGGCGGAAATCTTATAAAAGAGCTTAGTGGGGAGGTTGAAACTAGTTTTTAGTTAATTGGCACGTAAAAATGTAAATTCAATTATACCAGCCCTAGTAATTAGATAACAGCTTATTGTTTACTTATCAATAAAATCTGATAAAAAATATCACATTCCCAATGCCATACATTTTAGTGCGAGGTAACTTGGCAGCGTACGGGCAAAGGTATCCCTGGAGAGTCTTAGTTTCGGGCCTAAAAGCTGCTGATATTGAACAATTAAATCGGTTCGCTTCTGGTGGTTATTGTGACGATTCTACAATCGTTTATATGCAACATCCTTGTGTTATTTTAACAGCTCTAGAGGTTTTAGGTAAGAATTTATTTATAATGATGTGTATATGTAATAACCTATATAATGCAGGCTATACTGTTGTTGCATCTTCAAGTACAAGTGTGAAACAAGACTATAATGAATACATGTGGACTATGAGAAGGGAATTTGCTGAACCTGATCCTACAACAGTGTCTCCAGTTAAAGAAGAAGAAAAGGCCCCTCTAGCAAAAGGAGAAAATTAATTTATTAAACATGGAAATCCCAGCAAGTCTGTTAATGTCCTCGGGCACATTTGCTTATGTGGCAGTCAAAGCTTCAATACATGCCTCAGACAGTGCAGTTTTTGGTTTGAACGAAGCTGAAATCAAGGCTCTTGTAAAAAGGTTTTCAGACTATCAGAAGGAAATTATTAATGGGGTATTACTAAAAGCAGCCCCTTTGGAGGTTGTTAATGCTTTGGGACAATTAGGCTATAGGGTAGTGGCCACTACAGGAGAGGCTGAAGTTATATGGACCATGCAAAGAGACATTTAGTTTTATAATCTTGAATTAATTTGTAGTAGATTTGTGCATTGATTTTTCTGAATTATAGTTTATTAAATGTTTCAGTTGTTGAAACTTTAAAACCAATTTTGGGAGCTTATGAAATGACAATTTTAAACCTAAAAGGAGAGTTCACATAGCAAATTTGGTGGTTCACTTTGGCTCTTGCTGACAATACAATTCTTTGTGGTTTCTCTAAGGGCAGAGTTGCAAACAACGAATCGTTAGTGAAATTCCAGCTTCTGAATATTGTCTACAATTTGCTCTGAGAGACTCTTTTTTTCCTCACCCTACTAGGTAATTATGAAATTTGCCCTTTTTGTGACAAGACATAACTTAATCCTAAGTAAGGATTCTTAGCTTGCCCTTATGATTTTAAATATTTCCTCAAGATAACATTAGAGCCTGAAAGTACATTTACATGTTTAATTTACAACCAAGAAAACATTTAAAATGCCACTTTTGTGTAAAAAAATCTGGATCTGAAAATAACCCTAATTTTCTATTTAAGTCAACCATACAATATTTGCATTTTTCCTAATCTTGATAAATTCCATGTATTACATACACTCTATTTTAATTAATTATTATACTCTCAGAAGACATAATAATATTTGCTGCACGCTGTGATTTTTTTTTTGTAAAAAAAAATGTTTAGTTAATACCTACTTATTAGAATTTTGAAAAGTTTCATACAATTTTTGTATGAATTATATTATTATCATTGCAACTTTAAGCAATAAGTAACTTTTGAACTTATACAATTTTGTCAGTTTATGTTTATGTATAAAAATAATATTTAAAAGTACTTTTTGTCATTGAACTACCTCAAGTGTTTTTTATATTGTATTAAAAAATATATTTTTGGACAAAATTTGCTTGAAAACTAAACCAAACGCCTCTTGTCAGAGTGCTAGTGAACTAGATGTATTATTATCGCTTTCAGAAAAAAAATTATGTCACAGCATCCACCCCATAATAATCACGAATGCAAGTGTAGTAGCGATTCAACAATCGCCCGCCAGTCTTTGGAGGAAATGGATTTTGAAAGAGGTATTTGGAGTGCTGCCCAAAATGGAAACATAGAAAGGGTTAAAAAATTGAGTGATAGTTGGAAGTTTCAGGTTGATCAAAGGGATTCTGCAGGTATTTCATGAATTTTTTTTTTATATAGAATTCAGATTTAAATTTGATTTCTTTAAAGGGTACACTGCCTTACATTATGCAGCTAGAAATGGTCATCTTAGTGTTTGTGAATATTTGGTCGAAAAAGGGGCCGATATTGATGCCACTACAAAAAGTGGATTGGCAACGGCTTTGCATAGAGCTGTCTCAGCTGGCAAGTACATATTTCACTTTATATAATACACCCACTAAATGAGTCAAAAATTCCATATTTGACTTTTTTTGTTGAAATTTCAAAAGAAACTGTCCTGAATATGCATTTCAACAGTTATTAGCTACATTATTTTAAAGAGGTTCAACTCTAGCTAAAATTGAAAATGTAAGATTTATCACTTATTTTCAACAATCTGTCTTATGATTTTTTTTGGACTTACACTCTGCTGTAGACTTGAAATTTACTTGAATTACATCAAGTAATCTACTTTAAGTAAAAACATTGAGCTTCAAGCAAAGTGGCATTACTTGAAGTATATTTTAGTAACTTGAAATATGGAAAATACTTTTAATAAATTACTAGGTAATTTTGGTACTTCAAATATCTAAAATCTGTTGAAAAGAAGACAATTTTTAGTAATTTTCTTAGTTATTCACAATATAATCTGATCCTCATTCTATTCTGCACTGGGGCTCTGTACCGAATAGAGATATTTTCTCTATCTCTATTATTGGCGTCCCCTCTCTATTGATTTCAAAAAGAGAGAAGAAGATAGCAAGTGCCATAGCGATAGGGATAACGATCTCTATCTGTTACAGAGTCCCTGAGACTCTGCACATCATGTAGCCCTGTCCACTGTCTGATATTTCGCAGCCAAGACATTTTCTTTCTTCCAAGCCCTCTTCGGCCTTCGATCAACAGGTGCATGAATTGGTATTTTGTGTTTCGCATTATATGTCCCAGACCCAGATATGCCGTTTTTCTCTTTTTGATCAATTCAAACAGTTCACGTTGTTTGTTGACACGTCCTAGGACTTTTTCGTTTGTTAGTCTAGCCGTCCAAGGTATCTTAAGGATTCTGCAATACAGCCACATCTCGAAAGCGTCTAATTTATTAATTGCAGTCACCTTCAATGTCCAACCTTCTATATCGTAAAGAAGCACTGACCAAAAGTAGCATTTAACGAATCTGAGTCTTGGGTCTAGGTCAAAATCGGAACAGGTAAGCACTCTTCCAAACCTCAAGATGTCGAGCTATTTCAATGCAACATTTTATTTCCTTGTTTGATGTCCAGTCTTTGAAAAGCCAGACGCCCAAGTACTTAAATTTATCCACTCTCTCTATGGGCCTTGCGTTAAATGTTATGGTGGAGTTTTCAAACATATTTAGGTTTCTAGAGATAATCATAAATTTTTTTTGGTGTTGATATTTACGCCCATTGATTTGCTCTGTTCTCCTACCTTGTTGACTAGTTGTTGCAGGTCGTGAATGTTATCAGACATTAAGACCGTATTGTCAGCATAGCGGATATTGTTAATCCACACTCTATTAACTTTGACTCCCATTTCCACGTTTTCCAAAGCCTGCTGGAAAATCGTTTCCGCATATAAGTTGAACAGGAGCGGAGACAGCGCACATCCCTGTCTCACCCCTCTTCTAATCTGTATGGTGTTGGACATATTATTGCCTAATTTCATTTGCGCTGTTTGGTTCCAGTATAAGTTTTCAAGGCATTTAATGTCTTTCTGATCTATATCAAGCTTATTGAGGAGTTGTATTAACTTAGGCACACATCCTTTCTCTGATCGTAGCAGTTTTGGACAAGCACTTGTGTTGGGACTATCGCTTCTCGTATACCTAACCCTTGTCTGAACCCATATTGCGAGTCGCTTTCACATTACTTGTAATAATATGACTAATAAGTCTATGATCTTCACGGGATAGATTTCCATGGATTTCTATAATTCATGTGAATGTCTATAGATTTCCATAGATATCTGTGGATGTCACTGGATATCTATGAATGTCCATGGACATCCATGGATTTCAGTAAATTTCTGCTATCAAAATCTGCCCCTTATTGTCTCATTGTTTTTGGCACACATGAGGTTTAATTCCAAGCATGTCTCAAAAAGGTGGAAACATCAAGGAAAACTTGGAGAGGCGCAGTATAACCAGTGATGGGGATGTTTGTTAGAAGCAATGCGGCAACATGCTTCATTTCCACCAGCGCATCAAACACAAACTAATGGCAGCACAATAAGGTATACATTTAAATGGTATCAGGCAGGATATGATAAGAATAATTTTTCCGACATCTTCTATGTACAGGATACCTACTGCAACAAAGCTGCGCACAAGATTTCATAATCATAATCCTATTCCTAAAGCTGTTTTAACAATGGGATCTTATGCTGCAAAACCTGCGCATATGGACCAGCTTATCTCAAATTTTTTAAACATTTGTTGAATGCCTCGGCGAAGATAAGATGTGCTTCAGATCTACGGAGAAGATGTGTTCTGAATCAGCAATCCAGATCTGAGACTTCTGAGAGTAATACAATTTGCCTTATCTCCTTATCATCTTACTTGGACCCTGCGTTAGATGTACAAGACCAGCTTCACAAAATATGGTTGTGTGTATTTTTTTAGCAGATTTGGCGTAGATGGCTAGCTGATCAGCAGTACTTCAAGATCGGTGACAACTTTATCACCCCAAAATGTTACCTATAAGTTGAATGCTCATGCTCATCAATTTTTCCATCAATTTCCGTGAAAATCCAAATCTGACAAATATGTTCCTTTCTGACCTTTTTAGTAGTCAGACGAGCGAAGAAGAGCAAGAAGCTCTATGACTACCACATATTCAACTGTCAGGGATATTATTCGTAGACTCGACAGAATCTCAACTATAAACAATACTATGAATAAACTACAAGTAGTTTTTAAGTTTTCACAGAGAAGAAAAAAAAGCACTGAGAAGGCAGAATGTTTCGTCCGACTTCAGAAGACAGACGATAGTTGGAATGATGTCGCTATTGCACCATCAACCACTCCTATAGAAAATGATATTGATCACGAGCTAACTGATATAGATCACAACTGTGAGACTTTGCATACGTTATCACAATAGCAGGACATTCCTGACCCCCTTGCAGATTCGGTCGCTGGTCCACAATCAGAAATATATACTGATATGTGCAATCTATGAACAGCAGGCATAGGCCAAGATTTTTTATTGAAGGATTTCCGACGAAAAGTTGACCGACATTAAAATATCTTCATTAATTCAGCTATTAGAAAAGGCAACGCAGAGAGTAAGTACTGATGGGCTACGAAGATTTTTTTGTCAAAAGCCCTTAGAAAAAGCACTATCCATGGTTCTATTAAGCCCAAGAAGAAGATTTCACCAAATAGAACCGAGATTACAAGGAAGCGACTGAGCTCATCTATTCGTAGCAGGAAGATAAACTAAAAATCAACTTCTACCTCCGAAACTTCAGAAAATTACCAAATGAGTGTCTCTTGATGAAACCAGTGAGACAAATAATAATCGCTTCGAATGTTATTCATCTAATCTTCCTGCAACCAATATGACATCATCATCGACTGTTGAACCCGAGGAAATAATGCTGTCCAGCATAAATGTGGGAAATTTTATGTCATAATATTATGAGCAACGGTGGAATTTGGGCTTAATCACAAAAAATGTCGATAATGGTGCCATTCATCAGGACGTAGCGCTACTGTAGCGATCACTGAATCGAATAAGGACATATTATTAAGTCCCGTTATAAATAGTCCATTAAATGATCTTTATTCCATTATATCTACATTTAAAAAATCAATTCTCGCGATAACTATTTGAGAAGCTGGAAAACATCTTCATCTCAATCTCAAAATATGATAGAAAATCATAATAGGTAAACTATATTCTTTAGCATCCTAACAACTAGAGAACGCACTCTAAGAACAGATAGGAGATACCACAATAAATATGACAAGGTTGCAGTGGTAGAGGACGCTTCCGCACCATCTCCATTCAAACAAATCTAACCAATCAATCCTAACATTAGTGCCCGAGAAATAATATACATTTTGTAGTACCAGTTTTAAACTTCGGCAGGTTTTTAACTGTTACCTGACCGTGGATTTCTGTGGATATTCATGAAAGTCCATAGATTTCTACAGATTTCTTTGGATTTTCACAGAAGATTTTGGATTTTTGCGGATTTTTGTAGATTTCGTGGATTTATTTAAAAATAATGGATTTCTGGTGTAAGTATGTACACATTTTGGTTAGCTGTTTACTCCTCGATTTTGATTTTACCAATCGATACAGCTGGTCAAAATTAGTGGAAAACAACCCTGATATCATTTCCAATAGGCATTTTAAACAAAAATAAGGCACAATTCTGAGAAAGTTCTGGGTAAGCTTTAAACCACCCAATAAAAATTTTCCTCAATCCAACGGGGTCAGAACACAGGGTAGGCTTATCCAAGGATAAACTTGCACTTAAAGTTTCCGTTTAGTAAGTAAAAAGCTGTCCTGGAGTTTCCAAAATTTGATCAGTCCAGAGCAGTTTGGTTTTGTAACGGGTATAGATCCATTGACTCAAAGTATTATTATGTCAACTACATTTTCAACTGCTTGGAAGGGAGCGTTCAGGTTGACTCGGTCTATACCGATTTTTCTAAGGCGTTTCACTCATTGCAATGCTTAAGGTTTTGGGTATCTGCCATCCTTTTCATTCTTGGATTTATAATTCCGTGACTGGAAGATGGGGGAGGTCTGTTTGGGACGAGATTGAACTTTCTTCTGGAGTACCCCAGGGTTCTCACTGTGGCCCAGTACTGTTTTGCTTGTTTTTACCGGACTTGACCTGGAGAATGAGGAACAGTAGTGCCTTGTTGTTTGCTGACGTTGTTAAGCTATTTAGGGAGATTAGATGTCCAATGGATGCTGTTTGCCTTCTATATGATTTGGATTCTTTTTATGAGTTGTGTGTGGAGAATAAAATGACCTTAAACATAAACAAGTGTCATAAGATCACTTTTACTAGACAAAGAGACCCGATTATTAACTTTGTGTACTCAATTGATTACACACCACTTAATGTTAAGACTGAGATCTCAGATCTTGGCGTTCTGATTGATTCCAGATTCAAATTTTCGAGTCACATTAGCCAAATTACATCCAAGGCTATGAAGGTACTTGGTTTCATCCAAGATCCTCAGCTGATTTTTCTGTGTTCACATTTAGGCGGCTGTATTGTTCTTTTGTCCCCTGATTCTAGAATACTGCTCAGTTGTTTGGTCTTCTTTGTACAATTGCTATATTGAACAGATAGAGAGTCTAAAATAAGTTTTTAAGGCTATTTGCTTGTAGGTCTGGTTATCGGAGAGAGGAGTATAAATAGGAGTGGATTAGAAGTGCTCTGTCTTTGCATTCTCTGGAGACAAGAATTTTGATCGATATGTGCTTTCTGCACAGGGTGATTGCTCAATGCAGCCATTGACTGCAGTCTGATAGTTTCTAGGTTCCCTTCCATCACACTAACTACGGTGTCAATGAGCCCATTTCTCGTTTGGTTTGTAGGGCGAATAGTTTGGCTAAGCAAATAAACTTTCTCGATTCCAAACTGATAAAATTTCAAAAAGAATCTATTGTGATTCTCTCATCTGCTCTTACATATAGGGAAACTGGAAACGTTTTATATACAGGGTATACAAAACTTGTAGATAGACATAAGTACTACATTCCTAAATTATTTTCCAGTTTACAGGTCGGCCCAATAAGTAGTGGTGACATAAAGATATATTTTTTTAAATGACTCCCCATGTAAATTCTAGACATATTCCATGTACAATGTCATATACCTATCTTCAACTGTTTCGGAAATATTGACAGTTGAAAATTGACTTTTTTGCATCTCTGACAGACTGTAAAACCTGAACGGGTAATTTTACAGCCGATTATACATTTGTTTTTCATAAACTATCATTTGACACCAACTTTGAATTTAATCCATGATTGAAAATTTCGCTTAAATTATCAATCTCTGGTAAAATTCAAATTTGGTGTCAAATGATAGCCTATGAAAATCTAGGATAGGAAAGTATTTTAGAATAGATATTGGAAGTACAAGTACATAACAAAAAAAGTAATTCAAATAAAATATTTGAAGTACTTATATATACTTGAAGTAGAATTTCAAGTAATTTACTTCAAATGTTGACAGCTCCTGCTTGTATACTAATGCTAATTATTTTTTAATTCCAGGCAAAACCCAAATAGTCGACTTTCTCCTCTCCAAAAAAGCAAATGTAAATCTAAGAGACATGGATGGAAAAACGATACTACACAGAGCTTCCGAAAATAATCACAAATCAATATGCAAAATGCTGGTAACCCATTATCCACATCTCAAAGATATTGCCGATAATAAAGGCAACAAACCTCAAAATGTGTCATAAAATTATACATAAACTTTGTTCCACGAGGGTTCATACTTTTGAAATAATTCTTTTTTAACAAATAGAAACTGACTCGAACAAATCAATGACGTCAAAAACGTTCCTCGGTTCCTAAACCAGAAGTCATTCATTTTAATATGTCAAAAAAATTGAATGAATTAATCTAAGACAACCCTATTTTTCAAGTTATGATGTCTTCGATTTCAAAAGTATGAACCCTTGCGAAACGATCTGTATATATTTTGCACATAATTTTATAATAGCTAATAAGGAGTGGAAATTAAATTAGTGTTATTGTTATGATTTTTATTAATTTTATAAACAATAATTGGAGAATTCAAATTCTCACAACAGATATCACTTACTTAATACTATCTAAAAAAATAAATACATGGTAAAAAAAAAAGTCTTATTATTTCTAATATGGAAACTAGTTTTCCCAAGAAAAATAAAGCTTCAAAATACTGAAAAATAAATATGTGAAGGAACTTTTGAGTACCTAAAACTACTGGAAGTCATTAGAAGTAGGTATGTAGAAATGTCATTTGACTTCCTACGTACCTAATCAGTTATATAATTTTATAAATATGTGTGACTATAAAAAACTGTGCTATTTCTTTTTTTTTATAAAATTGGAAAAATTGTACAATGTTTTGTTCTTTCAAAGCTTATAGGTGCTTTACAATAAAAATACTGCACACTACTGAACACAGAATAACAAACTATTTCTAATTAATGTATCACCGACATTTATGACTAGCAAAATATTTTGTTACTTTGATGGCATCTACTCCAAAATCTCTAAAGCCAAATACTTGTGTAACATAGTGGGCAAAGGCAGTGTTTTAATTTTCGACAAAAGTCTATCTGAACCTATTTGATTTCTGATCACTACTCTACAAATTTCTCTAAGATTTAACGCGTTCGATTTTACGTTGACTATGAAATCGTAGGTTTCGTCGTTGGGACCTTTTCGGAGTTTTTTAGGATCCCGACTCATATCTTTCAACTAAAAGCAAATTTTAAAAGAAAAAAAAAATTGAAATCAATTAAAAAAAACTTACATCAAATCCAGCGTATACTGTTGCTTTGCACAGCTCTAATGTCCCATAACGTTGCGCCACACTTAAAATGTCCCAACAATTACGTTCGTCTCTAATATTTACATCTGCTCCGTGTCTTATTAATGCCATTGCTGCATAATTATTACCTAAAAGAATAAATGTTCAAATTCATATTGATTTTCGCAATATTATGATTATACCCAAGACAATTGCGTGTAATAAAACGGTCCCCTGATAACTGGAGGCGTTCATATTGGCCCCACTGCTAACCAAAATATCAATCAGTCTATTGACATCCCTCTCCGACCTTACATCTTGACTGCACACATGCAATGCTGTTTTGCCATCGATTGGACTTTGAATATTGACATCTGCACCTTTGAAGATCAAGTACCTATAGAATATTCATGAAAAATTTTCCTGAGTAAAACAATTAACATACTTAAGTATCAAGGCATTTTTTCGTGTACAAGCAGTCATTACAGGTGTAAACCCAATAGCGTCCCGGCTATTTATCATAGCGCCAGCTTCTATAAGAGCCATAACAACATCTATATTATTTTGGGTGATGGCTTCGTGAAGCCAATGATGTGAAGGAATAATCCTTGCCCCATGTCTAATGAGAAGTTTTACAATAGACGCATTGCCATTGTACACAGCCAAATCTAGAGGTAAAATTCCGCAAGGTTCTTCGTTGTTAACCAAAGAACCAGCTTCGCAAAGAATTTTGACTGCTTCTTCGTCGCCTTGCTTCACGGCCCAATTTAGGGCGGTCCTGTCTTCGGAATCGATAGAATTGACATTGCAACCTGATTCTATTAATAATTGTATTATAGGATGATGCCCCATTTTCGCTGCAATGTGTAGAGGTGTCAACCTGTGTCTTCCTAAAATAATTGTTCAAATATAAACTTGCAAATAAAAATCATCTCTTACCAGCAAACATATTAACGTTTACTCCTTTTCTAATTAAAAACTGAACCATATTGATATCGCCTCTGGTAACAGCTTTATGAAGGCAATTGTAACCGTTGGTGTCGTTTTGATTTACACTTAATTCACGGCCAAAGTTGTCTATTAAATATTCTGTTAGTTCAACAGAGCCAGAGTTTACTGCATAGTGCAATATGCTTTGTCCATGTTGATCTAATCTACTAAAATCTCTTTCAGGTGATTCTAGTATAACTGCTGTTCTGTTTAGTACTTTGGCGTACCATCTGTACAAGTCTATTGTGCTGTCCTCAACTGGTTCAGGCTCTATTTATTTGATAGGCAAATTAGCTTTTGAATATACAAAAAAAAAAAAAAACTTTTACCTGTTTTATTACAATTGTTGGCATCATTTACCTCCATGTCCCACTCCAAGCCCTCCATTCCTTCAGGAGTGGGGCCATCGCCAAATTCGTTTTCTTCTTCTCGTGTTACCACAAAATATCTAGTATTTTTTTTGTTAATAAACAGTTCTCAAATGAAAATCTTCTTACCCGATATTTTTACACCTCTTCGGACTGCTGGCGTCCAATTGCAAATACTGGGGTTTGTTTCGGTTTTCGATAGAATTTAATGGGGCGCTTTTGCTATTTTGAAAATCTATGAGCAGTTTCAGCAGAGGTAGATTACCGGTTTGGGCTGCTGCCCCTATTAAAGTCATTCCGTTTCTACAGATTTTGTTGATATGGATGTCTAGAATAGAATTTTTTTATTTCCAGGATTATCGCCTATAATTATGTATAATAATATGAACCAAGGAATTTGTATATACAATACAATATTGATTGTCCTATCAAGTGGTTCTGAGATGTTTGACAAAATAGTTTCTCTACCCAATAAGTTAACGATAGGGCCTAATGGAATATCAAATGTGGTTTTGAAACAATGCTACCCTTATTTTATCCTTTATGTTAACTCTTCAACCTGTCCTTATACACATCTATTTTTCACCTTTTTTTAGTTCGAAAGGACAATATCAAAAATTACCGCAGTGTTTCTATACAGTCTTTTATTCCAAAGGTTTTTAATATCTTGATGTAGACATATTTACGCTGGAAGTTTGAAGAAATCCTTATTGATGAGTAACATGGACTTACGGGTCGGTCCCTACTGACCAATTTACTCATCTTTCACAGTATATTGACAGATGCCTTGTGTATACTGACTTCTCCAAGGCATTTGACAGAGTTAATCATGATTTCTTTATTAAGAAGTTGATAAAATTTGGTTTTTCGGAGAGATTGGCAAACTGGTTTCTTAGTTTTCTTAGGGATAGAGAGCTCAGTATTAAAATTGGTAATTTTTTGTCGAAGGTTCTGGTGTGTCAATGACCAATGAGAAGATCAACTGAATAACTGTGAATTCTAGATGATCTCAATAGTCTATCTAACTGGTGTAAGAAAAAGGCTTATTATATCTAAATGTTGACAAATGTTCCAAGATTTCATTTAGGTATTTGGAAGAAAAATAAAACCGAATATTCCTACTCATTAAATGGTCACCAACTGAAAATAATTAAGGTAACAGCTAAGAACTTAGGAATATTATTTGATTCTTGTTTACATTTTACTGACCATATGAATCAAATGGTTGTAAAGGCCAACAAAATATAAGAAATTGTCAGGATTTATCTTTGGACGCGATGAGATCTGTTTATTGTGGGTTAGTTAGGTCTCAGCTTGAATATGGCTCAGTAATTTGGACTCCTTAATATAATTTTCACAAGACCAAGCTGGAAAGTGTTCAGCATAAATTTTTACGGTTTTGCACCGATAATATAATTTCGAGCTTATTGCTGACCCTCCGAGTCAGTGTTGCCAACTGATGGGATGTGAAAATACCTAGATTTGAAAAAAAAAATCCCTAGAATTCCCTAGAATTAATTTTTTTCAAATTCATTTTAGAATTATTATTACAGCCTAATAATAATTGTAATTCTTGTAATTTATGAGAAAAAAAATCATATTTTTAAAACTAATCGCACTAATCCTCAAGTTTTTAAAAAACAACACAACATTTCCAAAAGTAATAAAACATTGTTATGACGTCACTGGTAGCGATAATAGGTCTGTTTTTGCAGAAATCACAAACCAGTCAGAGTGAATTTCATTGATTGAAACTAGTTTTCAGACTGTTTCTGACTGTTTTCAACCAATGAAATTCGCTCTGCCTTTTGTTTGTGATTTCTACAGAAACAGACCTAGTGACGACAGACTGTTTCCTGATTCAGATTCGACGCGATTGTTGCAGGAATCCCCACACACATCACGTTACACAAAAGGCAAAGAGCACTTTACAACATACAAAAATGATACTGTTGTACACTTGGCCAAACATAAAACTGGTACAGGCAATGTATATCTATTTTTTAAATTTGCCTAGTGTGAGCCAGACTTAACAACAAGAAGTCTCTTCTGAAAAACTTAGATCAGAGTCCTTAATCTTGAAACTGGGGAGCAGCTTTCCCAGGAGAACCAGTGTTTTGTCTTTGTTCCTTATATTGTCATTTGCATATCATTGAGAAAGACGGAACACTCGTTCTCCTGGGAACGCTGCTCCCCTGTTTCAAGAATAAGGACCCAGACAGTTTTTGTCAACGACAAAGCTGAACAGAAGTACATGCAATATGTTTTTATGTTGTGATTGGTTCAAATATGACAATGACTCGACTCTTTTTGTCATTGTTGAGGTGATAAAAAAGGTCGATTTACACAATACAACACAATAGGAAAAGCGTACCAGTTTTATGATTGGCCAAGTGTATGTTGTATGAAATTACTCAGACGAACCAATAATAAGGTGACTTTCGATTTTTTGAAGAATTTATAATAAAATTATTTTATATGTTTATTTTTTCAGAATTAATCAAATTGTGTAAGAAAAATTAAAAATATCAGAAAACTCCTAGAATTTTCCTATATCCCTAGACAATTTTTTTTCCATATTTATCCCTAGAACTAGGGACAATTCCCTAGAGTTGGCATCACTGCTCTGAGTTGCTGACCATAACTATGATAATCGTTTAAATTATTTCAAGTGTCTTCCACTGGAAAGGAGAAGAATTATGTTTGATGCAAGGGGTTTTTCACCTAACAAAATTTGTACACCGATTAACATTACTAACTGAGATATTTCCATGTATTACCAGATATTTCTATGTACCTAATAACAAGTTATTGCCAACTATTTTCATGTATTAACAAAATATATTGCCAGGTATTTCCCTAGTATTATCATATATTACCAGGTATAGGCAAACCACCTAGGAATTCTTTGCCAAAAATGTGGGGAATTTAGAGGAATTTGTAGGAAATTTAGGGGAATTTATGGGGAATTTGAAGGAACTCATCGGAATTTATGAGAATGTATAGGGAATTTATAGGGAATTTAGAAGAATTTTTATGTGGAATTTGGGAGAATTTGTGAGGAATTTAAAGGAAATTGTAGGGTCATGACATCACTGAGGTTCACATTCTTATTATAAGAAATAGTAATAAATAGGAATTTTTAAAAAAATCTAGTTTTGTGTTGGACATTGGATATTCATTTTTATTAAAGAAATCCTCTCAAAATTACACTTCATGAATTACAGGTCCAAATTTAAAAAATTCAAAAGAATAATGAATACAGTTTTTGTAGTCTGATTTCCAAAATTTTTCATGTTACTGTTTTTCATTGGAAAAATTTGAAACTTTGGGAAAATGAGCTTCTTACCTTCCTCTTTACATGCAAAAAGTTTCAAAATTTTCCCTTCACTAGTTTTCCAGGAAAACTTTGAAATATGTGAGACTGTATTTTCAATTAATCCAGTTATTGTAGGTTGATTTCCAAGATTTCTCATGTAATTTTCTACTGGAAAAATTTGAATCCAGGAAAAGTTTTAAAAATGTGAGACTGTATTTCCAACTAATTCAGTTTTTGTAGGTTGATTTCTAAGATTTTTCATGTTGCTGTTTTCCACTTGTGAGAGACATTTGTAGGAAATTTGAGAGGAGTTTGGAGGAATTTGTGAGAATTCGAAGCAATTTAGAGTAATTTGTGGGGTATTTGGGCGAATTTGTGATGGGGTACCTATCTGGAGGAATTTGGAAGAATTTGCAGGAATTATGCGTAAAAAATTCTCCTTTGAGGAATTGTTTGCACCAATTCTGGGATAGTGGTTCACCCCTTGGATATTTACATGGTATTAATAGGTATCAATCAATGACATTAACATAATAATATATTGCCTATGTAGATATCTGCAAGTATTGACATATATAACCTACACTCGAATCCACATAATTAATAAGTGTTTTGAGGTCCCTGACCGTTTACATAACACAAGGTTGAATGCAAACCAAAATCTACGACTCCCTATTCCCAGAATGACACTTACAAAAAAATCCATTATATATGAAGGCCTCAAGATATATAACCATTTGGGCACCGAATATAGACAATTACCATACTCGCGGTTCAGGAAAAGGGTGAAGAGTGTATTGATGGCAAGGTCTTATTACAGCCTGGAGGAGTATTACGATGATTGTTTGTAGCGAGGTTTGCAGCTATTGATTTTGTCAAGTACTTTCATTTTAATGTCCTGTTTTCATATGTATTTTTGTTTTTAGTTTTAATAATTGTATCTATTCTTACGGCTGTTTGTTATTTTAATTTTTGACATTTTAATATTGTATTTAATATTTTATTATTGTACTGTTATTATTCTTATGGCGGTTTATAAATTTAAATTTTGACATTTTATTATAATGTTTATTGTTATATTATTGTATTTTTCTTATTATTATCGTATTTTTCTGCTTTGTAGACAAGATATTTTTCTCTTTTTACAATAAAGCATATTTTGATTTGATTTAAGTAGGTATTGCATAGGGCTACCATCCGTCCAGATTTCCCCGGATTTGTCCTAGTTTTAAAGGCGCCCGGGGGGATTTTTTGGAGTTATCCGTGTTTTACGCTTTACAGTATCTTGAAAAAAATTACAAATAACTCCCCGAAAGTGACAAGAATCATGGACATCGTCAATCCACCTCATCAGTTTTATTTAGCTCGCGTGTGCGCGACTCAAGTTTCACGTTCACGTATCGTTAGTCATGTTTGGAGCTCAGTGAAAGCTATTAAAAAGCCAAAAAATTAATTTTTGTCAAAATAATGAGTGGTTCTCGAAGACTTAAAATAAACTTTTTTGGGCGTGGCACCCAAAAAATCTTCTGCTTCCGGCGGCGCTTAAGGTGGGCTACCCTTTAGTAGTGTCTGGGTTTGAGGGGTTAGAATCCGGGATTTTTGTAAAAATTGTCCTAGGTAACAAATTTCATAAATGGCAGCCCTAGTATTGCATAGTATTGACATAGTATTTACCTGGTAGGTATTGACATATATTAACCAGTGATTTGTACACCGATTAACAAGGTGAAAAACCCCTTGGTTTGATGCTTGTATTATTTTTACGATATCAAATGCAATGATTTCATGTCTTTTTTCATTTTCTTAAGTCAAATTTGCAGTTCCCGAAGGAATGTTAAAACAAAATAACTTATTTTCTGTTGGGTTCCATAGGACTAACTATAGGAGATAGTTTTCTGTGGAAAGAACTTTGGATTTTTTAACAAGGAGGATGGGATGGATGTTTTTAATGGCTCCTCTCAATAAAAAAAATAATAATAATTTTGAATTAAGATTGTTATACAATTTGATAAAAAAAGAATCAGGAACTTTTCATAATTAATTATGATTTACCTGAAAACTACAGGCCAATAGCCCTATTACCAGTGCTTTCTAAAATAATTGAAAGATTAGTAAAGAAACGCATGAATGATTTTCTCCTCAAGTATACCATATTAAACTCTAGACAATTTGGGTTTCAGGCTGGTAAAGGCACTAATGACGCTGTCTTTTCTTTCCTTGAAAATTTATATTTGAGTCTGAACGATGGGGAGGTGGCAGCAGCGGTGTTTTGCGATTTAAGCAAAGCGTTTGACTGTGTCGACCACGAAATACTTTTGCACAAGCTCGAGCTTTATGGGTTCAGGGGTACAGCTTTGAAATGGTTTAAGTCATTTCTCACTCACAGAATTCAGAGGGTCTCACTTAACGGTACACAATCGGAGCAGCAGGAAGTAGGATATGGGGTACCGCAAGGTTCCGTTCTGGGGCCCATCCTATTTTTATTGTATGTTAACGACTTGGCTAATATTAACGTATCGGGTAAATTCACATTGTTTGCGGATGACGCTACTATACTGTGGCAAAAGTCAGATGAAAGTTTACTTGGCGAAGCTGTAGCTTCTGACATAGAAATTATTAAATCCTGGTGTGATGCAAACAGGTTGTCTTTGAATATAAGCAAAACTAATGTAATGTCATTTGGCTGCAATTTGGGGGATATTTTTTTGAATGGTTCTTTACTAAATAACTTGACCGAAAATAAATTTTTGGGAATCTTCATTGACAGCTGCTTAAAGTTTGAGTCACACATTATTTCTTTACAAAATAGATTGGCATCCAATTGTTATGCAATTAGGGTATTATCAGGTGAATTGGATGTGGGAATCGTCAGGAATGCTTACTTCGCCCTGATTGAATCTCATTTGCGATACGGTGTTTGTTTCTGGGGTACTTGTTCCCGACAATTATTTCAGAGTGTGTTTGTCTTGCAAAAGCGAGCTATCAGATATTTGTTCAGGGCCAGAATGCGGGACTCATGTAGGCCTTTATTTTCAAACAATAGAATTTTGACCTTTCCATCGCTGTTTATCCTGGAGAGTGTGTGTCTTGTACACAAGAAATTTAAAGATCAGTTAGGGGCTGAACGCGCGTATAATTTTAGACACCAACATCAACTTTCTCTCCCAATTTCCTCTTTGGAATTGGTAAGAAAGTCAATTATATATAATGGCAAGAAAATGTTTAATAACTTACCACACTCAATAAGATCAATTTTCACTCCAGTTAAATTTAGGAAGGAGGTCAAGAAACTGCTGCTTGCGGGAACTTATTATAGTATTGAAGACTTTTTCAATGATTTTTGATTTTTCAATGATTTTTGATTTTGTGTTGTCTTGTATGTCATTTCTTTTTTTATCCGTTTTTGTTACCCCTGCTATTCGTGTTTAATATGGGTTTTATACAATGAAGTTTTATCGCCCTCAATGTAAAAAATGTTCTTTTAAATTATATATTTTAAATTATTTCTCTGGTTCTTGAATAGAAACAGTTTTTGAGTTTTTTAAGTTTTATTTGTGTGACTCTTAGATTTAAGTTTTATTTTTTATGACTGATTTTTATTTTCTTAAATGTTTTGTGAGCTTTTTTATTTTAAGTAGGTATACATTTGGATATTTTCTCTTACTACAGCTGTGTACTTCATTTTCTAGACATAGGATAAGCTTTTGTGAACAAATATTTATATTTACACAATAAAGCACATTTTGAATTGAATTGAATATATGTAGGTAATATCTCGGGTAATATATGTCAATACTTGTAGATATCTAGGCAATATATGTTAATGTCATTGGTTGATGTTGATACCCAATAATAATATGTACTTGAATACCTGTGGATATGTCAATACCTAGAATTCTGGCAAGACAAATATTTGATTTTAGTCTGTCAACAGCATGGCAATACCTACCTGGTAATATGTGATAATACTAGGGAAATACCTGGCAATATGTGGAAATATTTTGTTAATACATGGAAATAGGTAGTTAGCAATAACTTGTTACTCGACTTGTTATTAGGTATATAGAAATATCTGTTAATACATGGAAATAACTCAGTTAGTACTGTTAATTGGTGTACAAATTTTGTTAGGTGAAAAACCCCTCGACCCCTGTATATAATGACATTTCTGGATTCTGCGGAATAGTGCTAGAGATACTTTAGATAACAATAATACATTAATAAGTATTACTAATTTGGATTTGTTGACGAATTGGTTGTAGATAAAATTTAGTATTTTAGGCAAGTGATAGAGTTCAAGAGTTTTGTTATGCGTTGAAGCGCAGCTATCACATTTAATATTTTATCTACAACTGCAAAATTTTTTCTTATCTTAAAATACTTAGGTATAATGATACATACAAATAAAAGCAATTATGCAGAAACCTAAAGTCTTATCTAAAGAACCACTTGTTCAAATCAAAAATGGGTAAAATTAAGTATGTTTTTTTGTAAAGGAACATCATACCAAGGATTCTGTGCTAAAATCCTATCTTTCCTAGTCAAATCTAGTTCGAAATTCTAATATTTAAATATACAGGAAGATTAAAAATTTGTAAAAATAATATGAACTTACCATTGTTCAAAGTTATTACTTTTAGGTCCCTATCAAAAATTGACTTCATTAATCGTTCATTGGGGCCGTCCATGGCTACACAACACTTCTTCTGGATTATGTCCCAAATATTTTCACCATTGGAAAAGCTTCCAAATTAGGACTACAACATTTTTGGAGAATTTATTAACTTAACAACAAAATAAATTGTTTGATTTTTGATTGATCAACAAACGCAAAGCATTGTTGCCAAACTTATCGCCGGTACGATATATCGATATAGACATCGATACGTTATCGATGATAGTGCATATCGATATGGATTTGTAATATCGAAACTGTTAATTAAACAAATTTCCAAATTGCACCGTTGCCGCAGGATTTGCAGTTACTGTTTGCACTCAGAGAGAGCAAAAAGTCTTGCATAACTTTCCTAATGGAATTCGAAAATTGGCTCTAGAGTAAAATGGAACTAGCATTGAGCGCTTTCTTTTCACCAGCCCAACATCTACGTTGTCTATCTTTGTTTAGTACATAGGAAATGACAATGACCGACACATTCGATTTTGTTTATCAACTCTCAGCACAGCATTGACAGTTGACATTTCCAGATTTTGCTGCCCGGGTTATTTTTTAAAGCAAATTCTAAAAACGTTTTAAAAAAATGTATTTTCTTTCGTTTAATTGTAATATTTTAATGTGAATTTCCATTGATAAAAAATGTCGTTTCAATTGCTGACTGCCGTGGAAAAATTCCAGCAAAAACCTTTCCAGTTCAAGCCGTATCTTTCGGAAGAAGATGCTGAAGCATTTGAAGGTTAGTATTTTCAATGGAAAATTCTGTTGATAACTTGGGGGGCTCAGGATTAGGAGCTGAGAGATAAGAAGATATGGACAAGAATAAAATTTGCGGTTTTTATCTAATTATAAACATTTTTTTCATAATCAATTTGTATATAAATAAAGGTTGTGCATGAATCAGCAAGAAGGGGCAGAGTGCCCCTATATCATAGAAATCTCCTGTACGAACTTTGATTTTCAATTACCATTGCTCTCATTCAAATTAAATTTCGTTTAGGGCCAAATTTTATTTGGCAAATTATGGACCAACTGGTTGGTGTCTGGTTGTTACCTAGCAAGTACTTTCTATTCTCTAATGCATGGGAAGTAACTGCTAGGTAACAAGCAGACGTTTAGCAGTCAGTCCATAATTTGGCTCTTACAAGATTTTTACAGAAAAGGGGCCTGGGCTGGAACTCTGTAACAGATAGAGCTCCTTATCCCTATCGCTATGGCACTTGCTGTCTGCTTCTCTCTTGTCGAAATCGATAGAGAGGAGACGTCAATAGAGATAGAGAAAATCTCTCTATTCATTACAGAGTCCCAGCCCTGAATTCTAAGTCAATCCCATCAGAGATTTGCTTTGAATCTAGTGAATTTTCTATTTATGTTTAAGGATGTCCATTGTCCATCCACCATCAGATGACGCCAAAGTTGACCCCAAGGGGTAAATTGCTGATCCAGTTTTTGTACACCACAATGCCTAATTGGGGATTTACTTTGAATTTTCACCTAATTTCTGCAATACCCCAGCATTCCTGCCAATTCCCAGAAGTTCCTCTCAATTCCAACAATTCCTTAGTACCTTATTCCTAGTAATTTCCAGTGATACCCATCCCTGTACCAATCAATATGTCCTCCAGCCATTATTTATTTATTTATTTATTTATTTATTCTCAGTTCTTTATATGTGCCATACAGTACATATTAAGTTATTGGCTTAGTTATTTCACAATACTTTCCTTACAGATACCTAAATAAAATAATTATTTGTGTGTGCCTTGAGAAAAAAAAAATTGTTCTATACACATCTTTCGTGAATACTACCCCATCCCATTCTAACATTTCATTTCTAACCAAAGAAAAAAAAAAAATATACAAAAACATATCCCCGAACACTACTGATTGATCAGCAACATATGGGGTTAACAGCTGGGTTGGTACATGTCCTTAAGTTAATTTATTTATTTCATTTATTCAATTAAAGTCTTATAAAACACCTCAAGTAACAGTAATTAAATTATAAGACTACTAGTAGCCAAAAAGTACTACCTACAACCTACAAGCAATGCAACTGCCTAAAAATGAAAATATCACAATAGAAACACAAAAGTTGCTACATTGCAATATCAACAAAGTTAAAAGTTAAAAATCCTAAAATTCATGTGGCAAACCATTATCATGTCTAAGCTAATCTCTTAAATTCACTAACAGTAGTGTTAAAAATGTCAACTACATTATTCTCAGTTATTAAGACCCAATGCTAAATAATTTATTACGATTAGATCTAAGATTTACCTTAGGTACATGAAAATGAACAGCATTAGTTATTCCACAATTTTGATACATTGTTTAACAAATAAATCATAAAAATCACAGAGTCTTCTTCTATCACAAAGTCTTTGGTATTTGTGTGTGTCTAATATACTGTGATAGGAAATAAGATAGGGATAGAAACTGTTATGTTTTAGGTACAAAAATCGAAGAAATTTCTTCTGAATGTGCTCAATTCGTTCACTGTGACACTGGGCCCTAGGTGCACACACTATTGACGCGGATATTCCAGATGCGGTCTGACCAGTGCATTATAGAGTTTTATAACTGTACTCAGATGTTCAAAGTTTTTGGAGTTTTGGAATAATAAACCCTATTTTTTCATGAACCTTGTTCACTACAAAATCCCAATGTGAGGTGAATTTTAAACTGCTCTGCATATGCACCCAGATACTTAATTTCTTGCTTTCTCTGTAAAACTTAATTTTTTATGGAATAGTCGAAGTTAATTGGATTTAACTTTCTGGTGTATTTTACTGTGACACATTTTTTATCAGTGTTAAAACGCATTTTGTTTTGTAAGAACCAATCTGCAACAGAGTTCAAATCCTCCTTCAACAGAAGAGCATCTGAATATTCTGCAATTACTTTATAGTTATTAATGATACTAGTTCGATATGAACACCATAATGAAACGCGTGTAACGTTAGTTACACAAGTTTCATTAAAAAAGTTCATATCGAATGTGTATCATTCAAAATTTAATCTACGATGGTCCAAATAGATTTGATTTGCCAAGGCTATTTCAAGAAATAGCAAAAACTTTTCAAATTAAAATTCAAAATTTAGCAGGTATACCCGTGCTAGTCTGGGAACCTGCTTGTTGATTTTTAGAATTATGACTTTGGCAGCTTCAATATTGAAGTCAATTTTTGTGCCATAAATTCAGTTTTATAGTGGAAAAAATGTTAATATTCGTGATTCTGAGTTCGATTCGTGTCCTTTCGAATATCGAGACAGCATCAATGAAAAGGTTCTTCTGGTAACTAGCTTTCTTTTTGTATATTTTTCATTTCATAATTTGGGTGTTTTTATGAATTCTTAAACGCACTAGTGCTATTATAAAGAACCTAATGGCATTCAAATGACAATGCTAAATGTGTCATAATGACACCGACATAGATTAATAGTTATTTATGTATCAAGGGAATTATGCAGGTGTTAATACCCCAGGGCAACGTTTGTGTCCCGAGGGCCTCCGGCCCGAGGGACACCAATTGCCCGTGGGTATTAACTCCTGATAATTCCCGTGGTACATAGATAATTTTATATCCTACTGAATTTACTGTATTCTGTCTATTTTTATAAAGGAATAAGCCATAAATCAAAATTCTATTTTTTGTCAAAGCGTTACCTATTCAAGGTAAAAGCGGGAGTTATGGAAATCCTTAACTCCCTTGGGAGTTATGATATCCTTAACTCCCTTCCTTAACTCCCTTGGGAGTTATGAAAATCCTTAACTCCCTTGGGAGTTAAGACCCTGTTTATGATTATCGTAACCAAGGTATTATATGGTTTTAATAGTTCAGTAGGATATAAATATTTTAAAATCATCCATGAATATTAGAGAAGATGAAGCAATCTTCACGCAGTCAACAAGTGTGGTAATAAAAACAATAAACAACAATGGTCCGTTTTAGTAAGAAGATACCTACCTTATGATTTAGATTTTCCAAAACTTTGGAAAAGCATAACTTTGTTTCTAATATAGATAGAAAGCTGAAATTTTCACTGAATCTTATCTCAATCAAGGGACGACAATCCCTGGAAATTTCAGCTCATTTGCACATATAGTTCCTGAGATAAAATCGTGTTAAGCAATTTGGGGTCATTTATCAATATTTGAATTTTTCTGAGCGCCTTTTTTCATAGATTTCGGCTTCAAATCTGAGAATAATTTAGTGTATGGAGTTTGGGGGATGCTAATTGACCATTAAAATACAAAATCTCAACAAAAAAAAATTTTGAAATTTCATCGTTTTAGTAAGAAGGTAGCTACCGAGGTAGCTACCTTATGATTTAGATTTTGGAAAACTTTGAAAGGTCATAACTTTTTTTCTATTATAGATAGAAAGCTGAAATTTTCACTGAATCTTATCTCAATAAAGGGGCTACAATCCCTGACAATTTCAGCTCATTTGCACTTATAGTTCCTGAGATAAAATCGTGTTAAGCAATTTGGAGTGATTTATCAATTTTTCAATTTTTCTGAGCGCCTTTTTTCATAGATTTCGGCTTCAAATCTGAGAATAATTTAGTGTATGGAGTTTGGGGGATGTTAATTGACCATTAAAATACAAAATCTCAACAAAAAAAAAATTGAAATTTCATCGTTTTAGTAAGAAGGTAGCTACCGAGGTAGCTACCTTATGATTTAGATTTTGGAAAACTTTGAAAGGTCATAACTTTTTTTCTATTATAGATAGAGAGCTGAAATTTTCACTGAATCTTATCTCAATAAAGGGACTACAATCCCTGACAATTTCAGCTCATTTGCATTCGCATGTTATATACGAAACTCACCTGCGGCTCGTTTGGTATCCTACAACATGCTCTTGTATTAATGGCTATCATTACATGATCATTGCATAATATACTATTTACTATTATTGTCTCTATGCCTAAGTCTCTAAAACTTGATACAACAATACCATCATGTAACACTATAATCAGTCTTGCTTATCAAAAGATCAATTTGGAATTTAGTAGATGGACAATCTGGATCAGCGGCTGTGTGGACCACGTTGTGTTTCAATTTGTATTCTAAGTTGGTATTTACACAATTTTGCTTGGGGCAGTTGTCGTTCTCATATTTCCGTGCACAAAACTCACATGCAATATTGTTGGGACAGTCACTACTTCTGTGTTGATATCCTTGGCATTTGAAGCATCTAGTGACACTTAGATTTTCATAAACAAAGCAGTTCTGCCATCCCACAAATAGTTTTTTGGTATCCATTAATTTCCAATATAATGCTCAATATTACTCAAAGAAAATTGTATAAGTATCTCCTAGATTTCAACTTCAAATTTCACAATAAATCACTGTATGGAGTTCCTGGTCTACTATTTTATACATTGGCATAGCGCAACAAAAATATCACTCAACTTGATTGTTTTCTTCCAGATTTCCCAGTCCTTGGCAACATTCTATCCGACTTGAAATATTTCTGGCAAGCCAAAGGACCATGTCTCGAAGTACGACTCACAACCACCGGTTGCATAGTTGGATCCTACACTTTTGGATCAGTCTTAAAAGACACAAACACCAAAATTGTAGCCGTAGAAGAACTGAAAAGAAGAGACGATCCGTTGCTTGTTGTGGCCCTCGACTGCGCCCTAACCGGAGGCGTAATTTGCGTGTTTGATATTTTTGGCAGAGGCGTTTTGAGGGCTGTACGCATAGGCGAAAAAATTAGTAATATCCACGTAATAGCCCACGGCTGTGAGACGGTTTTTCCAGAATCCAGCCCACTGCAATATTTCGACGGGCTTTTGGCAGTTGGCACGGTGGGCGGAAGTGTTTTTCTTTTGGACTTGTGCAAGCAAATTTGCGAAAATGTACTTAACAATAATTATGGAAGACTAGTTGTTCGTGGGGAACTTAATAATTGTCAGATGAATGTTTTGAACAAACAAAATATACACAATATTAAAAAATGTATTGAAATATCGGTGGAACGTGAAGAACATCTGGCAATACATTTGAATGGTAATAATTATTGATAGTTTTATAAGTTGTTTTAGTAACTATTTTCTTTTAAATTAGCTGTTTTGAATTTTTCTTCCCGACACTTTACATTGAAAGGCGAAGAAGGTGACGATAGAGTACATGTAAACAAAGAAGAAGCTGAAGTTAGTGCTTTTTTCTATGCTAAGCAGATAGCTTCACTTTTTATTGGTTACAATTTTGGTTCTTTCCAAATGTGGGACTTATGGTAAGTCTTAATAGGTACTGAATTTTATTATAATTATAATAAACCAAACATTTTCTATAGCTCCCTAGATTTGCTCTATACTTCACCTTTATGCGAACCCATTATACCTATAACAAACTTCACTATTCAAGAACCAGCTGATGATCCAAAATCTGTTTGTTATATTTGGGTTTCTTTCAGTCATAATTTACTTTACGGATCTGAGTTACCATACGCTGTTATGTATGCTTTTTATTTTAAGAGTAAAACTTGTGTGGATAAATATGGAAGTTTATATGAGGTAAATTTGGCTATAGTTTTCTATTTTTTAAATTAATTAATTTTTTTTTTTGTAGGATTTTCAACATTGTTCTATAAGATTCCAGTTAGCACTTGGAGATACTCGATCTGCTTCTGTAAGATCTTCAGTTAAAGGTGGCATTTGCCTAGGACTTCAATCGATTAATGAAAACGTTCCAAGCAAAGATCAGAGCTCATTGGAATTGTGTTTGATTTCTTGGTTGTTTTGGGACAAAGATAAAATTGCTAATACCGCTGTGCTAATATTTGATTTGAACCAGTGGTACAAGGCACAAATGCCTGGTAATTATTTGTCTAAATGTATTTGTTCAAATTTTTATTGGTTTATTTCTTAATAGCTACTCCAAATTGGCTGCATTGTTCCAATTATATTATAAAAAACAGCATGGACAAGAAAATGATTAGCATCAAAATGAATCGGGAGTCTTTACGGCAATTTATGGGCATCCAAAGGCCGGAAGAGCATTTTTGTCCCACTTCTTTGTCTTTTAGTAAGTTGTTTATTTGCTTGCAGGGTTGATTAATAATAAATGCATTTTTTTAAGATCTCTGTGCCATATCTGAACATTCTGTATTCAAAATCGAAAACGAATGCCACCAAAAACTATTTTTAAGCAAAGTATTGAATGACCAACACTTGGCCTTAGTCAACCCTGTAAATTTTGCAGAGGAAATTATAAATTTAGGTTTGACCCCATTATTCTATGACATCCATAACTCGCAAAATGGTGTAAGTATTTTTCCAATCATTCAATGATTAACAATTAAACATTACAACCCTTTTAGGATTATCAACGAGAACTTCTCCTCAACGTAATGCTAGAACAAGATCAATTAGACTGGCTATTCGAAGTAGCTTCCGAACTAGCAAATAATGCTTTTAGCTCCGCAGGCCTGACTCTCTACAACATGATCCGTTGGGCTTTCCAAAGGGCAGTCAAAATGAAAATCTCTTGTGACAAATATTGCCAACCTCTGTTTGACTATTCCGGCATAAAACTGGACAAAAACATCTTGCATCTAATTTCTTGCGGCAAATACCAAATAAGTAATCTATGTAACTTTTACAAGTACATTTCTAGTGAGTTGTGGGAATTTGTTGCTGATAAGGATGGGTTTTTGGAAGAGCAAAGATCCTTGGACAATGTGGTGCAGTATTTTGAGGTAAAAATTGAATTTTGCAATTTGGCCTACAACTAATTTATCTATTGACAGGTCCTTCTTTGGATGGTTGGTGCAGGCTTGTTACCAGAATTCCAAGCAAAAAGTGGAACACGTAGTTTAAGTGGTGTCCCATATTTGGTGCAAGATTTAACTGATTTGTATGACCAGAAGAGGGCACAGTTGAGGTTGGGCAACAAGTACACTTTTGTGGGAAATGACTGCTTGATTTTTATTGATAATATGATTAATTCCAGTGGTAAGTAAAAAAATGACACTAACATACATTTTGCCTCACAACTTTGTTAATTTATATCTGATCTTAAAGAAATTAGGCTTTAAGTGAAGCCAATCAAATTTTCTACAAATTAATAATTTCCATCCAGCTTCAATCGTTTTACAGCTGGGAAGCTGACAATTTAAATGTAATTAAGCTCAAAATTCATGAATAAAAAGCAATTCAAAAGCCTGTAATATACAAAAATTGAAATAAAATAGGACGGAAAATTCTAAATTTCCAATTTTGGAGTCTGGAAACTCATGTAAATGGCCCTCGAATTACTTAAAAATACAACTTCCACAACCAAAATGGAACAATTTCTATCAAAAACAATTTTCCCCAACTTGAATTTTGAATCTGGAAGTTGTTCTCGGATGCTGAAAATCATTCTGTAAGTCTTAGATATTCTAGAGGCAAAATCAAGCATCTTTTCCTTTGGAAGAAAAAAACACTGGAAAGCAATTTTTTCCTAATTTGAATTTTGTCCCTGGACACTGGAATTGGAGAACTCACTTTCAACAATTAGGTAGGTAAAGTATTTTGAGATTACAGTGTCCAAAATGAAAAAAACTAGGAAACAAATAGTAAAATCTTACTATATGGGGTCCAGATTTTTTTGAAGTTCTTACCATGACTTTACTTAATTCTGGTGTCTTTTCCAGCTTCTTTCCTCACAAATTTTGCAGATTTAGGATTAGACTCTTGCCTATTAGTAGCTGCCCTGTAACAAAAAGTTTATAATTTAAGTTTCTTATTGTGAAAACTTTTATTTTTAATAATTTACCTTATTAAGTTTGCCAATTATTGTAACTTGAATAAGCCTAATTTCCACACCACGAGCTGTCAGTGCGTTTTTTTTTTGAATGGTATCCCCGGTAGACCTAGTTCACTTGAAATTACACTTGTACAGCCAAAACCGTCAACTATGCATTAATTAGTTTGAAAGGTCATACATTTTTTTCTATTATAGATAGAAAGCTGAATCTTTCACTGAATTTTATCCCTTTCAAAGGACCTCAATCCCTGAAAATTTCAGCTCATTTGCACTTATAGTTCCTGAGATAAAATCGTGTTAAGCAATTTGGGATGATTTATCGATTTTTCAATTTTTCTGAGTGCCTTTTTTCATAGATTTCGGCTTCAAATCTGAGAATAATTTAGTATATGGAGTTTGGGCTATGTTGATTGACCATTAGGATACAAAATCTTGACAAAAAAAAATTTGAAATTTCATCATTTTAGTAAGAAGGTACCCCCCTATGATTTTTTGGAAAACTTTGAAAGGTCATAACTTTTTTTCTATTATAGATAGAAAGCTGAAACTTTCACTGAATTTTATCCCTTTTAAAGGACTACAATCCCTGGAAATTTCAGCTCACTTGCACTTATAGTTCCTGAGATAAAATCGTGTTAAGCAATTTGGGGTGATTTATCAATTTTTCTGAGTGCCTTTTTTCATAGATTTCGGCTTCAAATCTGAGAATAATTTAGTATATGGAGATTGAGGTATGTTGATTGACCATTAGGATACAAAATCTCGACAAAAAAAAATTTGAAATTTCATCATTTTAGTAAGAAGGTACCCCCCCTATGATTTTTTTGGAAAACTTTGAAAGGTCATAACTTTTTTTCTATTATAGATAGAAAGCTGAAACTTTCACTGAATTTTATCCCTTTTAAAGGACTACAATCCCTGGAAATTTCAGCTCATTTGCACTTATAGTTCCTGAGATAAAATCGTGTTAAGCAATTTGGGGTGATTTATCAATTTTTCTGAGTGCCTTTTTTCATAGATTTCGGTTGTAAAAAAAAATATATGTAATTGGAACAACACAATGTATGTTTGTTAGTTTAAAATTTTCAAATATTCTTCTTTTTTAGCTAATGTAGACGTTTTAAGACAAATCTGGCAGAATGATGGCGGTAGCGGGCTCTACCCTCCCCCGTCACTGCAATCCCTACTTAGAACCTACCTCTTGGACGGTCCTGATTTAGTTTTTAAACATTTCCTAGTCACATACACACTTTTGGATATTGCTATGACCCTAGATAAGGACAACAAGGTAATTTTGTAACAATTTAATTTAAAATACGTGTAATAACTAAACAATACTTTCAGGTGATCGAATTGCTCATCAAATTCCCTGAAAACTTCGATTTGTCTAAAAGCAACATAAAAATAATTCAAGGATTTTGGAATTTGGACCATGGCAATTACGAAACTGCTTTGGATTGTTTACTGGATGAGAGCATTCGGCCAGGAGATTTGGAACCGTGGCATCATTCTGTAATGATTAAAACTTTACTTATGCAAAACAAGAGTAGTTTGGCTGTACGGTATTTACAGGTAAATATTTGATTTCTATAGTTGCAATATATTTTGCATTGTGTCGGTTTTATAGGACCGAAACCCTGCCATACATGAAGAAAAAGATCTCCTCACTGTTATAAGCATTTTGGTTTCCAAGAATTTATTGGATGATGCCTTTGAATTTCGACTGCGGCACAGAGATAAAGACGATTGTGTCCTACTCAATCACATTTTCAATGAATGCAACAGAAACGACACTCTGGAGCCTTTACTATGCAGAAGCTTCACCCCACACGAAGAACAGGCTTTTTTGAAATACCTACAAAACACCAGAGATCCAAAATGTGAAGAGTTGAGGATATTTTATTATTTGTTAAGATCCAGATTTTTAGATGCTTTTGATGCTTATGATTTGGATAAAAGGCACAAACCTGATACTCAAGGCAAGATTTATTTTTAAATTTTTTTCAAATTGTATTATAATATTGACAATTCTAGGTCTTGTTGGTCAAAAAGAAGCCTCAGCAGCTGATAACCTAGTTCAAATGTACAAATCTCTCATGCCTGATGTCTACAGCCAATTAATAGAACTAGTACGCAAAGAACGTACAAATTTATGGATAGATGTTCCCAATCCTCAGCCAATGTCGGTATTTGTTCATAACGCTAGAGAAAATGTCAAATATAAGTCTAGTTATCTCTTTGCGGCTTTAGCTAAAGCGAAACAATCCTTTGAAAATAAAACTAATGAAATTGTCACTGAAGAAATTCCGTTTTTGAGGACTTTAGTTGTGCCTAGGAATAAGACTAATGAAAGTATACCTGTGATAAAATTCAAACCTGTTGGAGATTATTCCAGAAAACGCAAACTATCCCCTCAAGCGTCCAAATCAAGCCCCAAAAAACCAAGAAATATGTCCTTGAGCATAATCCAAAGTCAATTGGAATCACCAATAGTAGGAAGAGATAAACGTCGGACACTGGACAACAATGACACTGCGTTTTTGCCACAAAGCATTTTAAAATCGTCTACAATATTAGAAAACTCCTTTTTCAATGAAAATTTGTCACCTAGGCGATCGGCTTTGGGATTGTCACCGAGAAGTTCTGTTAAAAGCATTACGAAATCACATGTCCAATTCTCAGATGTTGATAATAGTGGCGTGGAAAGCGGAACAAAAAGTAGTGTGGAAACTAGTGGTGATGACGTGTTTTATTCTCCGGAACACAGTTTTGATGAGAGAAACCAGGATGATGTAGAGGCGGCTTCAAAGACATCTATTCATCAGGTAATTTATTTATTTTTGTTGCTTTTTTCTATATTTTTAATGATTTTTTGATTATTTCAGTCCAAAGAAAAACTCAATTTTGATGATTCTCTGGCTGTAGTTGAGCAAGCAAGCTCTCAAACTATTTCAGAAGTTGTGATGAGTGATACAAACCCAATTGCTCCTGTAGAAGAAAATATTGCAATAACAAGAAGATTTGAAAGTCCAAAATGTAGAAGAAGTCTGAGAAGTAAGTATGGTTTGACTCACAAAAAGTCTGCCTTGACCGAATGGTAAACCACATTGGAAGCTTCAAAATTTAGTTTGGAGCTTCAAATTAACTTTTCCACAAAGAGGAAACTTCAATTCATAAATCCTGAAAGTTTCAAGTCATTGTGATCATTAGAAGTAGGTACTTTGCACAAGTGATTTTTGCAGATTTACTTACTATTCATTAGTCCAAAATTTCATTCATTTTCAGTGGAATTCCAGTGGGATTTCGTGGGAATATGGTATACATATTTTTTAGGATGATTTACCCCTTGACCTCGCCTGAATAACTTTTTTCGTGAGTTAAACCAATCTGATCTTAAACATTGTTTTACCCATTATTAGGTAACACATCAAGTCCAATCCGCTCTAGTCCTCGCTTGGCCAAAAAGTCATCAGAAGAAAAATCCTCTCCATCAAAATCCATAAGCAATGAAAACAAACCATCTCCATCAGTTCAAAAACTACGTGGACGTCATTCACTTTCACGTGCAGTCTTGGAAAATAATCTACTAAAATCCCAAAATCTACTGCTCGAAGAAACATACAATGATTCAAAAAAACTTCAGTTATCCTGTTCGAGTATTAGCGATATGAGCTTCAATGATTCTTCTTTACTTGCCTTTTTAGAAGAAGATCAAAGTGCTCAGGATTCGGATACTTCTTTCGAAACTGAGAATGTTGAAATTGTGTCAAAAGTTACTGAAATTAGTCGCACAGAAATCCACAGGGAAAATTTAAGATTAGGCGAAACTGGCAATATTGTAACAACAAAAGAAACCAAAGAGGAATTTCATTTGAGAACTGTAGAGGAGTTTAAGGATGAGGATGATTTGCAGGAAAAAATTGTAAAGGAAACTGTTGATAAACAAGAGGAAAAAATTGTAGAGGAAATTGTTGATAAACAAGAGGAAAAAATTGTAGAGGAAACTGTTGATGAACAAGAGGAAAAATCTCTTGAAGAGCCATCTAAAAGTGGTAAGTTTTTTTTTGTATAACTCTGCAAATTATTTAAATTAAAATTTTTAGAAGACAAAGATGAAGCCTTGAACATTTACGATGACCTATCAAGTGCCAGCGAAGATGGCAAAGAAGCTTTAGAAAACGTAATCAAAGAAAAATTAATGACTGAGGAAGAAGTTTCTCAGATGCTAGAAAATCCTGCAAATGAAAATGACATTGAAATGATTATAGTCCCTGAAGCACATTTGGTTGTAGACGAACTGATTGACATCTATTCCAGTAGCGACGAGGGTCCAACTGACAATTGGTCTTCTGATAACGAATCCCTTAATGTTAGTGCAAAACAAAACCTAGAAGATGAATCTTCAAATCAAAGTTCCGAGAGTGAGCAAAAGTCTGAAGTCTGTGATGAAGAAATATCACAACAAAATTCTCCAGAACAAGAGTACATCTCTGATAATAGTGAGGACTTTAATGAAACGGAAAAATCGTCAACTGATAACAGTTACGATTCTAATGCTCCCATTGTAAAACACGTTGTTGGAGATGATGATGATGATTCAAATTCCCAGCATATTGAAAAAGAAGTTTTAGAACAAGCAAGAAGTGAAACTCCTGTTGAAGACGAGCAGCAAAATAATGTTGAAGAAAATCCAAATAATTCTTCAGATTCAATGGATTCAGATTCTAGTGAAAAGGATGAAAATTCAGATGTAGATGAAAGTTCATTTGACGAAAGAGTAGTGACACCTACAAGAGGAGTTAGTCAGGCTGAAACAGATTCTTCTAATGACTCACAAATGTCAGAAAAATCATTAGAAACCCCAACAAGGTTTGTATTTTTCATTTGATCAATTGAAATTTGCTCATTTATTATTAATTTTAGTCCTCAAGATGTAGCATCAAGTCCGGAATCATCAGAAGCATCTGAAAAGCAATCAAGAGGCATCCAATGTACTTTGGCCATGAATGCTTTCGAAAAACCTATAGGAGATGAATCTGATGTAGAAGAACAAAATTCAGTAAAAGAATCAACTTCTGGTAGGAAATTTTCATTGTAAAAAGTTGTTTGATTTACACAGGGTTATTTTTTAAAGGCCGTGCTTCTACTGACGAAGATGTAGTTGCTAGTGAGAATGAAGAACCAAAATCAATTGGCTTACAGTGTAGTTTTGGAACTCCCAATGTAAAAGAAGAGTGTGTGGAACCCACCACTATTAAGGTGAAAACCGTAAAAAGAACTTATAAAGGTAATTATTTTTATTTTTTTCAAATACATAAATGTTTTAACTTGAATTTTTTTGGAGGTCGCAAAGGCTCTATGGATGTTGATGCTACACCTAAACTTGCTGTCAGTTTGCCAATAAGAACTTATTCCAAGAAACTGAATGTTAGACTTTTTGAGAAAAATGTCGAAGATAATGTCACTGTGGAAGAAAATGTTGCTCATGATACTGACAAAGATGTCGAGGAAAACAATGAAAATGTTGAGGAAATTGTCCATATTGATGAGGATATAGGTGAAAATGTAGTTGTTGTTCAAGAGGACATAATAGATACTGACATAAATAAAGAGGTTGTGGTTCATGAAGAGATTGTCAATATGGAGGATCAAGAAGTTGAAAAACCTACTGACAAAGATGTAGAAGAAATAAATAAAGATGTTGTGGTTCAAGAAGAGATTGTCAATATCGAGGATCAAGAACTTGAAAAACATACTGACAAGAATGTAGAAGAAATAAATAAAGATGTTGTGGTTCAAGAAGAGATTGTCAATATAGAGGATCAAGAAATTGAGAAAGATGATGTAAAATTGGACTCTGCTAAAGAAATAATAGATACTGATAAGCAAGATAATATCTCCCCATCATTGGAAGTTATAAAACAAACAGATGCTACTCCAATAAGGATGACAAGACGCAGAAGCATGTTGATGTCTCAAGAATCCTCAGAATTCTCTGAGAAAACCAATGAAAAAGGTAAGGGTTTCAATCAGAATGAATCATATTTTAAACTACTGTTTGTTCAAGATGATTTGTCAACCAGTAAGCCTCATTCAACTACAAGTTCCCAATCTAGTGATTGTAGAAGAAGTCAAAGATTTATGAAATTTGCACAGGAAAAGCCTGATAATAGAGATAATTCTCCATTGAGGGAAAGTTTAGTTGAGAAGAAAGTGGAAATTTTGAAGACGAAAGAAGGTAAGAGAGATTGAATAGACCACATTCACATTTTTAAAAGATTTATGTTAGTCATTTTAATAACAACTGTAGGAGTGAAAGGAAGGTTTAAAGCATGTTTTAGTAAACTTACAAGTTGATTGAGTGAAAACTTTGAAAAATACAGCCTGAAATAGTTTGATGATGAAGGGAATTTTTCAATAATTTAGACACCAGGATGTAAATGATTTTCTTACTGATGAACTGTTTCAAGTATTTATTTGCAATTTAGGGAGGAGAGAAAGGAAGGTTTGAAGCATGTTTTAGTCAATTTTCAAGTTGATTGAGTAAAAACTTTGAAAAATACAGCCTGAAATAGTTTGATGATAAAGGGAATTTTTCAATAATTTAGACACAAGGATGTAAATGATTTTCTTGCTGATGAACTATTTCAAATATTTATTTGCAATTTAGGGAGGAGAGAAAGGAAGGTTTGAAGCATGTTTTAGTCAATATTCAAGTTGACTGAGTAAAAACTTTGAAAAATACAGCCTGAAATAGTTTGATGATGAAGGGAATTTTTCAATAATTTAGATACAAGGATGTAAATGATTTTCTTACTGATGAACTATTTCAAATATTTATTTGCAATTTAGGGAGGAGAGAAAGGAAGGTTTGAAGCATGTTTTAGTCAATTTTCAAGTTGATTGAGTAAAAACTTTGAAAAATACAGCCTGAAATAGTTTGATGATAAAGGGAATTTTTCAATAATTTAGACACAAGGATGTAAATGATTTTCTTACTGATGAACTGTTTCAAGTATTTATTTCCAATTTAGGGAAGAAAGAAAGGAAGGTTTGAAGCATGTTTTAGTAAATTTTCAAGTTGATTGAGTGAAAAGTTTGAAAAATACAGCCTGGAATAGTTTGATGATGAAGGGAATTTTTCAATAATTAAGACACAAGGATGTAAATGATTTTCTTATTGATGAACTGTTTCGAGTAATAATTTGCAATTTAGGTAGGAGAGAATGGAAGGTTTGAAGCATGTTTTAGTCAATTTTCAAGTTGATTGAGTGAAAAGTTTGAAAAATACAGCCTGAAATAGTTTGATGATGAAGGGAATTTTTCAATAATTTAGACACAAGGGTGTAAATGATTTTGTTACTGATGAACTGTTTCAAGTAAAATGGACCCCTAATTTGATACTCAAATTTCATGAAATCTTCAAAATTAAACTCCAATTTTATTTCAGGTACCCCCAAACAAAAAACTACTAATAAACGAGCCTCAAAAAAAATATTGAGCGATATTGACGCTCACGTGAGTATTGATTCAGATCTGGAAGCAAAACCCCAATCAACTGATTTAGCAAAATCTACAAACGTATACGCAAAAAGAACAACCAAAACATCAAAAACTAGAGCAACCTCAGTTGCATCAGTAGAACCTACTAAAAAACCTGGTACCAAACGTACCAGAAGCCTCAGCACCGATCAACCTGCGACTAGAAAAAGGAATACCAGGACTAAAAGTGTAGATTTGCAAAATTTAAACACTGACAGTCATTATTTGAAAATTGTACTGACTCCATTTGATATAAAGGCTTCAACGTCCAGAAAAAAATCTTCAGACATGCAAAAACTGCCACCAGTTGAAGAAATTGACCCATTGACTTTATTAAACAAAGCTGAATTTTGTGGGCCAAAAGATCCTGAAGAAGCTAAAGTCTATCAGGAAGATGTTTCTTTACCACCTAGTCCAGTATCCTTGCGACAAACTAGATCTACTTCAGTGTTATCTAATGCTTCAAGCATTAAGTCGAGATTGAGAAGAGCAAGTGCTGATACAGTGTCTGAATCGTCTGATCCCCCAAGTCCACCTAAAAGGCATAAGAAGAAGGAGGTTGAAGAATCTTCTGCTAAAAGTGTGCCTTATACTAGATCTAGATCTAATTCGGTGTCGTCTTTGAGGTCAGACACTACTTGTAAGTATTTTTAATTGTTTGTGTTTTTTGAGGTTTTCAAATTGCGTTATTTTTAACAGCTACAAGAAATACTAGAGCTAGGAGCAGATTGCCATCAGTTTTAGAAGACATACAAGAGGAGAAAAAGAGTGATGAGGTTTGTATTTTATTTTTAAATTTTTGTTTTTGCAATGTGATTTTTTGTTTAAGGAAAAGGAAGGAGCGGAAAAGTCAAATGTAAGAAAACGCGGTCGTAAGAGGAAATAATAAACATTGGGGGAAAAAAAAATATTTATTAAGTCTTTATTTTGTTTGTTTTATTTTAATTTTTAAGATTGAATTTTGGATAATAATATAAGTATTTTCATTAGCTGAGCTGAAAATAATGGTGTTTATTGTCTAGGAAGTAAATTAACAAAGCATAGGTCTGGTGTGTTAGAAGTTTTTATTTCGTCTGTTTCTTTTTATTATTTAAAACTTTATTATAAATCAAAACACGCACAACTACCGCTTATCCTTTGGTTCTTTTTTCTCTGATAAATACTCCAAAAGATCATTCATTCCACTAAATTCGGTTCTTCCTTGCGGTGGATTGTTTTTGGGTATCGATGGCAGTATTTGTCCCATTTTAATACGGAACTCATCTAGCTGAAAAATAATAATTGTGCATCAGAATATTCAATATAAAGTACTTTGCTAGAATACTCTCTTTCATTAGGGAACTCTCTTTCTCTTCTGCATTACAGTCATATACATACTTTATCTCTTTTGTGAGATAAAAATTTCATTAACTGTGTTGTGATTGTGATGTGGCTTACAAAATCACTCTCATGAGTCTTATGTTATGCAGCCAAAGAAGTATTCACTTCAAAAATTACAAAATGAGAATTTTGAGTGATTCTGTGAGTCTATTGTCTAAAATACCATGGGCCACCATATCACAAACGGTAAGAAATACAAGGGCAGTTAAATTTAGATAAAATTGCCATTTTGAAGGTTATTGGAAATATATTATTTTCTGAGATATAGGGTGATTTGTAGAAAACAATTAAAACTGTTTTTTACAAATCACTCTGTATCTTGGAAACTAAAAGAAATTTTGACACCGTGTATAGCATTAGATGAGCATCTGTAGTGACGTCACGCAGGTATGAGATTTGAGTGATTTGACAATAATCTCCAATAGACTATCCTTGTTGAGGCAATCAAGAGCCGGTAATTTAGTCCAAATTTTGATTATTCTTCATTGTTTTTATGATAAATATACTCAATACAGAAAATTGAAAATAATCTTTACATTTTGGGCGCCAGATACTTTCCAAATGGCATAAAACAGCACTCCGCAGCCGGTGAAAGCGTACAAGGTACCCCATCCCAAAGCTCTCAAAGCTAAACCGGCCCCGGTTTCAGGAATCTCTCGGGTCGGTATGAAACCTTTGCCAAAGTATTTGGGGTCTTGTTTTTTCGCGGCTATCAATGTGGCCCCGAAACCGCCTACGGCTGCCACCCCCGAGACTGCCGCCAAGAATAATCCAGCTAAAAAGAAAATCAACTTATTAAAATGAATAGTGAAGTGTAAAATGGGTGGACCTTTAACGCGGAATTCTTTCGAGTACCGTTCCTTGGGTGGCTCGGTGGTACTTGTACTACTTTCCATTGTTAGTTTTTGAAAGGGAAATCACATTTTCCTTCAAATGAAAATTTAAATTTTTTAAGGACAGACAGGAAAACTAGAAAAAGTGTGGTTATGTTTGTTTTTGTTTACTTGTCAAAACTTCTAAACAAAAGTGAAGTATAGAAGTATCGATATTTGACACTATCAATATTCGAGCATTTCAACATCGATAGTTTGATAAAAATGGTACTGCAAAAAAAGTAGAAGATAAATACTAAAAAATCGTCATTACATTTACTGTATTCCTTTTATACATCGGGTTACATCGAACATGTCGCTCTAGAGCTCCTCGGAGTCACTCCAAAACACAATTCAGATATTTAGGTTTGTTTCTGCAGGAATCACAAACCAGTCAGAGTGAATTTCATTGGTTGAAACTAGTTTTCTGACTGTTTTCAACCAATGAAATTCTGCAGAAACAGACCCATTATCATTATTCTTTGATATTAACGTGTTCTAAAAGAGCTTCTTACACCCCAGCAAATTTGGTGCATCAAGGGAAAGGGGGATGCACTATGAGCGACTTGAGTGCTTAACGCACTTTCAAGAGGAACTTTTAGGAATGCCCGATTCAATGGTGATATTTGCAATGTTGCCAAGTTTACCGTTTCTGAGATGCAGTCCAGCAAGGATAGAAGAATGATACACACTACTACTACAGGATAGCTTATCCTCATAGGGCCTCCGTAGATCAAATCTCAAGACCGCCACCATGCTAAAGCACCAGTGATGACGTAGACAGTGTGCGGTTTCTCTTCTTGATGTAGGGTGTTTGCACCACAGGTTATGATTCCGCGGGCTTTTACTTTATGCATGCTTTGTTTTACCACAATAATTAACATTCTGAACAACTCTTTTTTAAATCTCGTGTGCATCTTCCTATTTGCCTATTATGTTGATCAAAATTAAATTTTCATCATAAATTTAAATTTTAAACCACCACCGCTGGCGCAAACAGCTGACGACTCAGTTAATGACGTCGGCAATGGTGCTATACATCAATATGGCCGCGATTACCAAAAACGAGGCCCATAAGCAATCCTTATAATAAAATTAGTAGTGTGTATTATCCTTAGCAGTCCAGTATAGTATAAGGTTGTCTGTTTCTGATGCAGAAATCACAAGCCAGTCAGAGCAAATTTCATCGGTTGAAACAATCAGAAACAGAAAACTAATTTCAACCAATGAAATTCACTCTAATTGGTTTGTGATTTCTGCAGAAACAGAAGTACGCCTTAGAAAAATGTGATAATGAGTATTCAAGATTTATAGGGTATATTATAGTAGGTATTCAAGATTTATAGTACGCCTCAGAAAAATTATGATAATGAGTATTCAAGATTTATAGGGGGGCTGGTAGGCACTGGGCTGGGTAAAAAATAATATTGTACATTTTTCTTAAGCCTGGTTCCTCTGAAATACGAGACCGTTTCCATACTTTTCAACCAAAAAGCTGTGTTGCCATATTTCAAAAACCAAAAAGAATGGATGAGGTTTGGCACTTAGGGGTTTAATGGCCGTTTCCACTAACTAGGTATTTTAGGGAAGCCTTAACGATAGATATTCCTTAAACTGACATTTCTTCATGGAAGACTGTCATTTTATGAAATACTTATCATTAGGGCTTCCCTAAAATAGTTGGTGGAAACGGCCATCATAAGTAATGTTGGGACGTTGATTCATTAACAATAAAACTAAAGAGGGACTTTTATTTTTTAATTAGGTCACGGTCACATACGGCATCTAGAAATGGTAAACTGGGCAACATTGCAAATACCATCACATCATTGACTCGGGCATTCCCAAAAACTCCCCTGTGAAATGCTGTTGTAAGCTAAAATGAAGATACAACTAAAATAAAATAAATAAATTCCGATTTTATGATTCTTTGCAATTCCCAGAAACAAATATTGATTACGACAACCAAATAACCAGATTTGGGCTGCAATTTTATCTATACCTACATTAAGATTACTATCTCTAGATTCTAGACTAGACTAATTCCTTTTTTTTTCTCTTAAAAATTCATCATACCTTTTTAATATCAACATATAAGAGCAAAAACAACAATCAATTTTAATTACCATCCTAACGAGGGCACATAATCAATTATGCTATAACAAAACAGCCCCGAAATGACAAGAAAATAAAATTAGAGGGATGTTTTATTACGTACATATTCCGTGCAACGTAGCATATAATTAGAGCTTCCAAGTATAAAAAAAAAACCTCTGATTGATCTGAGTTTCCTTCGCGAATGAAGTTGACACGTTTGTTCAGTTTGCTTTTGTCCATCAGATAGCTCACTCGTTTTATAATACATATGGAAAATTTGGAGTGGGTAAGAGAAAATTAGTAAATTGGAACAAACGCTTTCTAGAAAAAAAAAAGATATTTAGTGCAGAGAAATGAAAAGTAATGCGAAATCTTTGAGCCAGTTGTATTTGATTAGGTAATTTGAACTTTTTTTTAAAATTTATTTACAGGCGCGGATCCAGACCCAAATTAAGGGGGGGGGGGCATACAAAATATTGGAAGGTACAGGGTGTCTGGTTATAATTTGACATCCCACCTTTATAGGTAGATGATAGGTGTAAACACAAAAGTGGAGCATTTTTAGCTAAATTATTGTCAGAAATTTGAAATTTTGCGTACTTTTAACTTTTTTCAAATAGAATGCCCTATATTTGATTCTATATTGTTGAAGAGTACAATTTTCCGATTCCAAAAGTATATAGTTTCTCTATATTTAGTTGAGCCGTCTCCACCATATTTGGCTTCAAAAATTTTAAAAATACTATCAGAGAAACCAAGTGCCTCAAATTTTACCTGAAGCTTTCATCAGAATAGCTTACAAAATCGTCAGTAGGATAGTATTTTTCCAATTTTTAGAGCCAAATATGTTGAAGGCGGCTCAAAAAAATATAGACAAACTATATATTAGAGGCAAATATAGGGCATTTCATTTGAAAAAGTTGAAAGTACGCAAAATTTCAAATTTCTTACGATAAACTTTTGTTTTTGATGATGGATTCTGAAAATTTAGTTAAAACTGCACAACTTTTGTATTCACACCTATCATCTACCTGTAAAGGTAAAAGCTGCAAATGGGGGTGTCAGATTATAACCAGACACCCTGTACAGGATGTTTCCTTATATTTTGATCCGTACCTACAGCTTTAGCTATTCAAGGTGGAAAAAAACTTTAAATATGAAAGTTGTAGGGTTTTATGTCTATTATCTTTTGCGAATGTCAAAACGGACAAATGACAGGTGCCAACTGTCACAATGACAAGCACTTGCATTTTTCAAATGGAACACCCTGTATATTTTTGGCTAAAATGATAGCTTTTTTTTCTTCTGATTCCAAATATATCATATATGTTGATATTTGGTTCAGTTGTTTTTGCGCTATTTAATTTTAAAATTGCATTGAGTATGAGCCTCATCATTGATATAAGAAACCAGGATAGATTAAATTAAGGGTAATGTAAAAATGCATTTTTAAACTTAAATAGAGTAAAAACGGCTAGAGCAAATATCAACATATATGGTATATTTGGAATCAGAAGAAAAAAATCTATCATTCTAGTCAAAAATATACAGGGTGTTCTATTAGAATTTTTTTTTCCACCTCATATAGCTAAAGCTGTAGGTAGGGGTCAAAAAATAAGGAAACACCCTATACATATAAATAGATAAGGCTAGAGGTCCGTGATAAAATGACGCCATGAAATAAAATTCTGTTACGGGCTCTGAAAACCGGAAAAATTGGTCGATTTAATGTTGATTTTTAAAATTATTTTTTTTCATCTAGGGGGGGCCATGGCCCCCATGGCCCCTCCCTGGATCCGCGTCTGTTTATTTATTTATTTCAAGCAAACGGGCATCATAACCCAATCAATTACAGATTTTTAAGTAAGAATAACCCTATACCTAAATATAACTAAAATACTTAAGAACTAAGATAAAATTGGTATAAAATACAAAATTAGAACAACGAAAATGTATAAAAAACAACACAGACTATTATCACATTTAGAAAAGTTACATTTTCTTTAATTTTGTTTAAAACAAAATGAAGATTCAATAAAAATATCACCCTCAAATGAATTTATGTTCCTCATTAATCTTGACATGGATGGAAGAATAATGACCGGATAGGGTGCGATGGAAATTTGCCTCAACAGTTCTATCATTTCTAAGAATTCTTTGTGGAACATAAAATTTAAGTTTAGAAACCAGTTCAGGACAATTCGAAGTGCATTGTTAACCAATTTAAAACAAGTAATAATGTCGATATTATCACTATACGTGCTTTAAAACTTTGAATGGATAGAGTTGTTCAAAATTGCCTTAGGTTACATTTTCGACATTTAAGTGTAACTTTGTAGGCAATATATCTCAAAAACTTTTTTTGTACACTGTCTAATTTATCAACGTTGAATAGTAGGGATTCCAGAAGAAGAAGAATTCAATACCCAACGTACTTTTGAAACCATTTCAAGTCCAAAGCTTTAACAGTGCTAAAAGTGTCTTATCTTCAGTAAGGTGCCCATTTCCATCATGAAATTGAAGCAGTATCTGTTGCCTTGTTGCCTGTGGTACAAGCCACTTGTTTCCATGAGGCATTACTTTGTAGAATCTATTATTTTTGATACTGTAATTTTTATGGATTTCTTGTTCTTCCTTATCTTCTGGTGTTTTCTTTAACACTTCCATAATAAATTGGCATCTCTCATCGACCCTTTAATTGAGCATGTAAAACCCAATCATCTTCGTTTATGTTGACCATATTAGCACTAGCAATGGGCAGTGCATTTAGTGTGCGATGAATTCCTACGGGATTCCTACTTAAAGCGTCAGTATGAGACATTTTATGTCCTGGCCGGTACTCTATGTCAAATGAAAATTCTTGGATGCTTAGCCACCAAGTCTCATTCATTCAATGTTTTCCTTATCGCATTGCAATCTGTAACAATCTTAAATTCAATTCCAACGAGATAAATCCGAGAGTGCTCTACTACAGTCTCCAGCTCGTAAGAATGATATACTTGTTCTTGTTTGGTAGTTTGCCTGGAATAATAAAGTTCTAGTACTGGTT